TAACCACTATTTAAAGTTTCCTGGATGCTTCCAGTTTTCACATATGCTGATCCCTCTGCATGGAATATGGTGAATATCCTTCCACATCTTTTTTGCTTAGTTCTTTCTTTTTAAGACTCAGCTCATGCCAATGCATGGCCAATGCCATCTCCTCCAGGAAGCCTTCTATAGATCTCTCCAATCTGGATTGTATGCCTGTCCCTCCTCTTCTTATTCAGATCACTACCACGGCACTTACCAAACTGAACCATAATTATAGGTTCATTCTTCAGTCTTTCCAAACAAACTATGAACTTCTTGAGACAGAGGCTATTTTTATTACCTTTTTATTTCCAGTGCTTTCTGTAGAGTCTGGAAAACTACAAGGTATTCAATAAAAGTTTGTAGAAAGGGCAGCATAAGTAAAAGGGTCATTATTTTATTTTCTGAGCATTACTGCCACTTAATTTAAAAAATGAGAAATATAACTTACTATAAATATTCAGACCAGTACAAGACTATGTTTATATGACCAAAGAATAAACTGTCAACTCTGGGAATAGCTAAAAGTTAATAAGGCAATGGAAAAGTTTGAAGAGTACAATGATAGTTTGATTAGCATACATCACCTTCTGTAGGCTACCCAGTTACTAGTGATGCTTCAGTAGTGGCAACTGTTCTGTTTGAAAAAGTATTTGGGTATCATGGTGATAAATGCTGTGTAACTGACTGGATAGATTTGCAACCAATAGGGAATTTAATATATCTTTAAGAATAAAAAAAGAGATGGGACACTTGACAGTTTCCAGTTGCAGACTGGGCCCCATTCACTCATGTGCCTTGCTCCACTTCCTCCACAACTGTGTCTGACAAACCAGACATGACTGAGGATAAGAAATTTGATTAAGTCAAAATTGAAAAAGTTAGAAACACAAGAAAAAATCCACTGCCTTCAAAAGAAACAATAGAACAGGAGAAGCAAGCGAATCATAATGAAGCAAGCATTTGTCACCAATATGCACTGTACATTCCATAAGCACTGCCTTCTTATTTTACTTTTTTTTTTTTTTTAGCTATTTAACTTTGCAAAATGCAAAGAAACTGGATCAAGTTTAAATGACTATACTGCCCATTTTCACAATAAAGAATCAAGAACTTCTGACAGGGAAGGCCAAAAGCCTGTCTTTCCCACCTGCCTGTCTAGCTGGCAGGAAAGGAAAAGAACTTGCATGTTGAAGGAAGAAGGTGGATAGTACAACTGTGAGATCCAGAGTAAAAACCAAGCTGGCCCAAGGTAGGCTGTAAAATGCAGTTTAATCAAGAGTGCCATTTTTTGTTGTTCAAATGCTTTTAATTACTGGAATGCATAATACCTGGGAAAAAATTTTTAAGATGTAATCCTAAAAAATGCTCATTAATCTATAAGTACCTGCATACAAATCACAGGTATAACCTTATGATCTTCTGGGTCAAAAATTTAAACTTAACATACAAGCCAAATAATATCAAAATGGCAATTTAAAAAATGAATACCACTATTAAAAATGAGATTTTAAAACAAAAGTCAGAACTCATGTAAATGTTAGTTATATTGAGAGGATATATCTTTATCCCTCAAAACATTAAAAAATGCACTTTAGGAACATATAAATCCAGCCTACTGAGCCACAAGAAAATGTCTTACTACGTTAGAGGGGTTTTTTAAATCCTTGATTAGCAATGTAGTTGTAAAAGACTTCTTCAAAAAATAATCTTAGTGAAGATATTTAAAGTATTCTTTTCAAGTTAAAAAAAAAAGCATTTCAAAAATTTAACCTTACAGCAGCACTGCTGAACTAAAGAAATTGCTCCCTACCTCCTCACAATTATGAGACTTAAGACAGCCAAAATTACTCTATTCTCATTTTAGGAAAATGGATTCTCATATTCAACAAAACACAAAACCTGCTAAAACTTGAGCAGAGAGAAGTTTCAGAAAAAGAAAATCCATGTGGAAAAGCACAAAGCAAAAGTAAAAGGAGCCCTTGGGTTTCCCTCCATGGGATTATATTCACTTTCACTTCTCCATTTGCGTTGGTTATAGGACATCTTCCTTCACTGGATCATTATATTTTTATATTTATATTTTATATTTTTATATCATTTATATTTTATATTTTTATATCATTATGTATCTTTATATTTGGGGGCATAGGCTCAATATGGAACAGCATGTATTGGGAATAAAGAAACTGTAATGGGATACTGTAAGAAGAAATGTTTTCCCTTGACCCTTTTTTGCCTCTCAAACTTTAAAAGGCTCTGTATTTTATTTTAGTAAGAGAGACTGTTCCCAAACAATTTTACTCTGCACTTTAAGAAATCAAGAAATGCAGATATTCTCCTTCTATTAGAGGGTGTTATTTCTTCTCAGAGGCTAAATTTAAGAGACAGAAATGTCCCTAGCCAAAAAAAAAAAAAAAGCTTTACCCATTTGTTTCAAATGAATATTTCTAGATTACCCTGGTGTATACAATTAATACATATAAGTAAAATTAACAGCAGAGCTGAAAGACAGAAAAAGATAAAAATAAAAGAACAGAAGATGACAGCAGGAGGGGACAGTGGATTAAGATTATATAGCCTCAGAAATACAAACATAAAAGAGGCTTCTTCATACTTTAAACCACTGAGAGCTCAAATGACTGGTCTCATGCAATATTTTACTCAATAGCTTCAGATAGGCAATCAGTAGCAGCATGGTAGAAAAGAAGAAAAAGATAAACAGGGAGGAGAGAAAGAAAAAAGCATGCAATTAAAAGCAAATTATATATAGCCACTTTGGAAGACAGTTTCACAGTTTCTCACAAAGTTAAATAAAATCTCACCATACAATCCAGCAATTCCCAGGTGTTTACCTAATTGAGTTGATAATTTATATCCATAAAAAAACCTACACACAATGTTTATAGAAGCTTTATTCATAATTGCCAAACACTGGAAGTAAATCTAGATGTTCTTCAGTAGGTAAAGGAATAAACAAATTGTAGCATTCAATACAATGGAATATTATTCAGAAGTAAAACAAAATGAGCTATCAGGCCACAAAAAGACACAGAAGAACCTTAAATGCAGAGGCTAAATGAAAGAAGCCAGTGTGAAAAGGCTACAAACTGTGTTTCCAACTATATCGACATTTTGGAAGAGGAAAAACTAGAGAGACAGGAAAAAGACCAAGGATTACGGAGGTGGAGGAAGGATGAATAAGTGGAGCACAGGGGACATTTAGGGCAGTGAAACTATTCTGAATGATACTGTAATGGGGAATACATGATATTATACATTTGGCAAAACCCAGAGAAGTGAACAAGATGAAGAGCGATCCAAAATGTAAGCTATGGACTAGTTAATAATGTATCAACACTGGCTCATCAATTTTAATAAATCTGTCACACCAATGTTAACACTAGGGAAAAGAGGTGGAGGAAGGAATATATGGGAATTCCATGAACTTTCTGCTCAACTTTTTTGTGAACTAAAAAAAGAAACTGATCTAAAATAAGTCTATTATAAATAAACAATACATAAACACATAAATTTATAAATAAATCTACCCCCCAAAAAGCAAATTATAACTAGGTTCACACAATAATACGTTTTAAAAACACATACCAGTTTACATGTCATAATGACAGGATGTATTATTAATTGTCAACATTTCTATGATTCCCAATATGTAAGACTTGTCATTATATAATGATTCCTAAACAGAAAAAAATCTTCACAGAAAGAAAAAAATGGGGTCATTTTGAAAATAAAGGTAAGAATGTACAAAAGGTAAAATCAATAAAAGAAAACACCTCTTCACCCTGGAACAATGACTGTCACCATCCCTTCTCTGAAGCTCTCCACTACCCAAGCTCTACTTAACTGTACATGAGGAAATATTCAAATTACAAGTGGACAAGGCATTTATGTAGGAACAAGGCACTGAAAGACATGAAAAGTTCAATCTCTGCTAATAAATATCAGTTTGTCTTTCTACACTTAACATTAAAGAAAACATATCCTCATACTAACAGTTAAGAAAGGACCTCCTTAAGGCACACACTACACCATGCCTGCTTTCAGAATGCACCTTCTTCCTTGTTATGCAACAGTATACCTTAACTCACAAGACCACTGGTGGTCTCATCATGGGGGTTCCCAAAAGATTCAGGTTACTCTCTCAATGAACTCTTTTTACCATATTTCTCCAACAAAGAAATGGAAAGGAAACAATAACTAAAAAAATTAAATGTCGCGATCTCTGTGTAAGGAAGATTCAAAATCTCTATTCATATTCTCAAAATGGAAACTGATATTAGAGACTTCACTTGTTAAAACCATTTTTCCATTCACATTTCCCATCTTTAGTTATTCCTCCTAACAAAAAAGTTAAAAGCCACTGCACAGGGATCTAAAAGATGTAGAAAAATATATAAAGCAAACACCACACACAGCAACAGTAGAACTCTTTAATAAGTCACCTCAGGGTTGAGACATACTGATTGGTTAGTCTCAAGTGTCATGATATCTATGTCCTTCATACTTGCTATTCACCTTTACTTGTTATAACTTTAACTGCTCTCTTGAACAAGGCAGGGTATAAATAAACTATCTGCTATTTAAAATTAACATTTTAACTCAGATCTGTTTGTGTTTTCCCATTCAATTTAAAAGCAGGATTGTGACCAGTCTTGCAACACACAGACAAGCTCCATTTCATCTCAACAGATACATGAGCATATACTACATAAATATATGTGAAATAAGTCCCAAATTATGAATGCAGAGATTTTTAACATCATAAGTCAATTAACATGAGCCAAGTCTTATGCAAACATAAGAATTCCAATTCTTATTTAGGTCCAAATACTTGTACCTGATGAAGTGCTTCTGAAACCCTATAAACATATGCAGAGTTTGCCTAAACTATACTGGTTGGGTTTTACCTTTTGTTTAACCAGCAGCATTGCCAGTAACTGTATAAAATTGCAGACCTGTTTTTCAGCACTGGTCCTGGCTGACTCCTCTTGTGCTAGCACCATTTCTCGCTCTGCAGTTATCTGTACACTTTCTCTTAGTGCTTCTTCCAGCTCTTCAATCCTGTCATCCTTCTTACGGAGACTGTCCTGGAAAACGATGGAAGACCAGGTGAAGTAGACTAATTAGTTAACCCAAGAGAGCCTATTTATCAAGAAAGGTTATTTGCTTATTAAATATTCTTCCCTTCAGAAATAAATCCAAGCCAGAAAGATATCTTCACAGAGGAAAGAACAAGGGAAGAAAAGAAGTCTAATAGGAGGTTGAAGAAGAATATTATTAAGAGCAAAACATCAAGTTATTTAAGCAAGAGAAACTTGTGATGGAATTGTTCTCTGTAACACAGAGAATAAAACCGTGTTAAGCAGCACACACAGCAAAGGCTTGATTACTTAAAAACACAAAGCGGTTTTTGAACTACTCTCTAAACTGGGCTTTAAGCCAGCTTTGATGAAGCCTAAGTAGTAAGACACAATACGAAAACATTCTCTCTCCCTGAAAAGTTCAGCCTAGATGAAAAAGTTAGATAAACAGCATGATTTTTCAGATTATATTCTTCATATAGACACTCATTAGCAAACTAATTTAGAAAAAAAGAAATGAAAGTGATGTTTCCTAATGATTTCAAGACAGCAAAGTTTTCTCTTAATTTCATATGAGAAAACTAAAAATGATAACTGGATATAAGTGATCTGGCTAAGGATGAGTAATTTCATTAGCCAACCAATTCCCACTAGCATTGATATTCTAAATAAGCTGAAAAATTAACTCCTGGGAAGGTAAATATGGATTTCTATCAGAAAGACAAAATCCTATAGGACTTTAAGAACATGTAATAAAGGAAAGATCTTAAAATAAGAAGGATAAATGAAGCAAAGGCCAAGCAATATTAAGAATTAGATTCATCAGATTATAAGCATTTCCTCTTTAAATTCTTCTAGAACCAAAAGATTAAAAATAAAGTGCTGCCTTTTATTAATACAATTAAATTAAAAACACAAGAACAAGAGTTACTAAAACATTCTCCAACTTTCAGAATACTTGCCATCAGTAAAAGATATGAAAGGATTTTGTCTTTTTTTGTACAACTCTCACTTAATTAGATTGTAGTTCACTTTTATAAGTGCAAGGCACAGAAAGTCCTTCCTAACAACTTTGTCTTCAAAAATCCAGAACTTGAAATCTGTCAAAGATTAGTCAGATTTTTCTTCCAGCACTAAAAGAATAGCATCTTTAAAAAAAAGAATATTCACATTTCAGTAATGCATGCCATGCCCCCCCCCCCTTTTTTTAAGTGTTCATTCTTCTAGTAGAAAATGTTATAAAATACCCTGATTTGGTCCTGTAAGTAAGGTTCTGCCTTGTACAGGACAGTTTAGCTCTATCAAAAAATGCTTTCTTGAAATCTTAATGCTTCCAGGTGGCTTGCCATGAGTAGCAGAGTGCAGCTTCTAAAACCGTTGAAGCTTCAGCTGAAGGTTCCTAAAACAACGCCAGGGGAAATGAAATGATGCCAGTCAAAACAAAGGCCAAGGTAGTTTCAATTCAAAGAAAATGAAATGTAACAGAAGGATTATGTAGAAAGAGACAGATCAGTGAGTTCAGTCCTCTCAAAATGTCTAATGAATAACTTTATTTGTAGTAACATGGGATTTTGAATTACAAATTGTAAGCAAAAAGAATCACTAATGTTTCCCATTATCAACTGGTTGTGAATAACTCAGAATTATGTTTTTGTCCGGTCAGTTATTTTCTTCGCTCTTAAGCTGTCTTTTGAAGATCTCCTGAGAGGCTTCTGTTATTCTAATCTAAATTATCCCAAAGAACTTCCCAGAACCTATTTCAAACAAACAGGCTTATCTGCATTTCTGCATGGACTGCAGCTTTGCAGTTTTATCAGTAAAATTTTTTTAGAGAGAGTTTACTTAATAATTTATCATAATGCAGATAATCAGTACAGGTTTTCATACTGAAAGTTTCATCAAAACCAGTAAGAAAATCAGTCTATCATATGAGCTCAGTGCACCAGGCCATTTATTTAAGCAAAGTTTTCCAGAGGGGGCACCTGGGTGGCTCTGTCGGTTAAGCATCTGACTCTTGGTTTTGGCTCAGGTCATGATCTCAAGATTTGTGAGTTAAAGCCGCACATTGCGCTCTGTGCTGACAGTGTGGAGCATGCTTGAGATTTCCTCTCTCTGTCTCTCTCTCAAAATAAACTTAAGAAAAAAAAATTTTTTTCTAAAAGTTTTCTGGACTTTGTGGTAAACAAAGCCTTGCTCAAAATCTGTGTCCATAATAAGGACAAAGAACAAAAGCCAAGAAACACCATAAATAAAAAGAAGAAAACTATTAAACGATATTCATGAAATACGAAAAATTACATAACTTATACTATCTAAGATCAATGTAAAACTAAGTATGGAACCATTTGCTCTAAGGAAGCTGTAATAAACCAGGGTAGTAACAGAAGAATGAAGACACCAAATACCCTCATCACCTTCAAAACCAACACCAATAAAGTCCATAACTACTTAATCTGTCTAGTGAGTAAAATTTGGCTCCAGCTTTATTTTCAGAATCTTAATAGATGTTTGATAAGGTAAACAAGGAAGTTTCCTTTGTACTGAATTACACACCTTGAAACTGTTTCATTTAATAAAATATTAATGAGTTTTTAATAAATTAATAAAATATTAATAAATTTTCATTTAATAAAATAAAATGAATCTGTTTTAATAAAGCATCTAAATGCCAAAAATGAATAGAATCTTTCAGTTCTACAAATACTGGCACACTGGCACACCTAAACACACTGACAGATCATATTTATAATTATCTGTTCTTGTTGTTACACTTTCGGTGACATTTTCTATACTTAGACCATAATATGGGTATTCTCTCTCTTTTGTTTTAAGTTTAGAATACTAGAGAAAAGATTTTTAAAAGTTTGGAAAGACCAAAAATGATCACCCACAAAGAATAAAAAGTTGGAAGGTACTGGAATGTTTTATTGGAAACACATTAGGGAACTAGAAGACCACTGAAGTAATACCTTCAAAACTCTGAAGGAAAGATGCTTTCCGATCTAAAATTCTATATCCGAACTATCATTCAAATGTAAGGGAAGAATTTACTTCACACCACAAACTCTCTCAGAAAGTTAGTAGGAATGTGCTCCAACAAACTTAAGAAGTAAACATACAAAGAGGAAGACATGGGATCCAGAAAAAAAGGAGTCTACCACAAATGAGTGGTGAAGGGAACCTAGAGGTAATGACAAGCTTAGAGAATAACTACAATTTGGAGGAGAGGATAGATACTCACAGAACGGTGTTTCCAAGAAAAAATGGTGGATGAAGAGATTACCAGGTTAATAAATAAGGGCTGATGTATTCTACAATAGTACCAATAATGAAAGGAATGTTAGAGTAGGAGAAAGGAATTTGGGAATAAACTGGTGATATGTATACAAATACATAATAAAACAAATTTAAAAACCGAAAGCTGTTGTTATCAACAGGAAAAACTAAAGGTAAACTAAAGGAAATGTAATCATAATATACTACGTGCTTGAGACATAATAAAGTAAAACTTAATAAACTACGAGATGGAAGGAGGGAAGTGTGTGTGGTAACTTGCATTAAAAGGCTAATTCCTTATCATTCACGGTAAGAAGTCAGTAGGTAACTAATGTCCAAATAAGGAAAATAAGAAAACAACAATATAAGAATGTTATTTGGAAAGGGAGAAGTAAACAGAAGAAACAACCAAAATGGTGAAAGTACTTGTCTCAGGGGAGCAGGAATCCAGGTTAGACAAGAATGAGGTTGAGGGCTATCACAATTAATTGTCAGCCATGTAGCATTATTTCACTTTGTAAATGATATAAATAGGTATTGTTCAGAAAAAAAAAACCAATATCAAATTTAAAAATATGTTAAAAGAGAAGCACATAATGCAAATAAATTAGTAAAAATACAAGAATTTCTGGCAATAGTTATAAATGTGGTAACTATTTCAGGTACGGATACTCTAAACATATGGGTTAACTATACACTATAGGGGCGCCTGGGTGGCGCAGTCGATTAAGCGTCCGACTTCAGCCAGGTCACGATCTCGCGGTCCGTGAGTTCGAGCCCCGTGTCAGGCTCTGGGCTGATGGCTCAGAGCCTGGAGCCTGTTTCCGATTCTGTGTCTCCCTCTCTCTCTGCCCCTCCCCCGTTCATGCTCTGTCTCTCTCTGTCCCCAAAATAAATAAACGTTGAAAAAAAAAATTAAAAAAAAAAAACAAAAAAAACAAAAAAACTATACACTATAGAAAGAGAACAGTCTAGGCAAATATACTGCAAGATGGTGCTAATGGTGAAAAAACATATACGAATTTTAAGGCACTCTTCCTCTTTTTTTATTCAAAAGTTGAATTTTTTCATGCCAATAATTTGTATAGCATGTCAAAATTATCAGAAATTCTTTTCCGGGGCGCCTGGGTTGCTCAGTCGGGTAAGCGTCCGACTTCGGCTCAGGTCATGATCCTGAAGTTCATGAGTTCGAGCCCCGTGTCAGGCTCTGACAGCTCAGAGCCTGAAGCCTGTTTCAGATTCTGTATCTCCCTCTCTCTTTGCCCCTCCCGTGTTCATACCCTATCTCTCTCTCTTTCTCTCAATAATAAAATAAATAAATTAAGAAATATTTTTAAAGAAATTCTTTTCCAGTCATTAGGTAATGATGGTATATTTTAATAAGAACATTTTTGAGATAAAAGTTTAAACATCCCAACAGCATATGTGTAAGACACAGCACCAAGCCCTAATTCAAATAGCACTAACTATTCTGACAACAGAGAAAAACAAACTATGGATTTAAAGGAAGAAGAATTCAGCATATGGCATATCACTTTAATACCTAAGATATAAAGTGCCTAGTATTAGCTGTTTATTGTAATATAATAAGTTGCCTCAAAACATAGCGCTTAAAACAACACTGAACATTTTTTTAATCTCACACAGCTTCTGTGGGTCCGGAACTCAAAAACAGCTTAGCCAAACAGTTCTGGTTTCTCATGGGGTTACAGTCTATACGTCAGTCAGGA